CCAGTATTTTCCTGTTCTTTTCAACAAATATGATTCCAATAACAGCTTTTCAGCAGCCCATGAACCGCAATTTAGATGAAATCTAAAGTTTTTGCAAGTGAAATCCTAGGCCTTTCAACACCACCAGCACAAATAAATTCGGTCAGCAGATGAAAATAAAAATGAAAACACGCTACAGTCACTTTCTGCCAGACCTCAGCAGTGCATGGCACAAGCAGAGGTGAATGCACAGGGTGACCTGCACTACTTTGATGACAATTTCATTCTCCGTCTGCCAGCTACAACAGAACACCTGCTGACTGAAAGGCATTCCTAGTCCAGCAACAGAAATTGTATTAAAAGAAGGGGGGGAAAAAAATGCACCTAAGTAGTCTTTCCATTTCATTCAGATTAGAGGCACTGGAGACAGTTCTACTTCTCACATCCATCCATCACACCTCACAGGACCAAGGACTCTGAAGAGCTTTAATTCCTCCCCAGCTACTGCCTTTCGGGTGACATTCAGAGCTCAGATAACCTGTTTAACTGTATAGACTGCAACTTCTTCCCATGCCATTTCCTATAACTCATCACCCAGTTGCTACTGAGATATTAGATTAATTTATAATAAACTTGCTTCATGGTATGGCGGCACAGTTGCACAACTAACTCCACATTGGCAAAATGGAAATATGAAAGATGCTTTCAAGAAAGTACAGTGTTTTAAATTTAGATCTGAAAAAGCCACAGTGAAAGAAGAGAGTATGGAAGATATTTTAGCAAAGAAAAGCTCACTGAAATCTGTTTCTTTTTTCTTTTTCCTGACAGCATTAGGGATTTTTTTAGGACAGCAGAAAATTAAATTTTTTTCATTACCCTAAATATAACTGTAAATTATTTTCAGTGGAAATAGAGGGTTTTTTTGTGAAATGTTGTGATGTCCTTGCTGATTTAGTGAGTTCAGCTACTCAGCCAGCAAAAGGATTTCTTAGGACAACTCAATAGGTTTTGTCATGTACAGCTAGGCTAATGGCTAAGACCCTTAGATGGAGTCTTTGGCATAGGTCCAGTCATGCTGATTTCATCTGTTGTCAGCTCTGGAAAGTGGACTTGAACTCAGAACCCATACTACCAATCATCCACACACATAAACATTGATCATGATAATTTGCAGGAGTGGAACCACACGGCTAAATATCAATGGAATTTTCCTTCCTGATCTCAATTCCACTGATTAAAATGTAGCTGCTTTGCCAACTCAAGTGAATCATTTACATATGCCACATGTAAGAAAGCTAGATAAAAACATATTTTTTTATTACCTGAATTACCTAACTCAAAAAAATATAGCCAGAGCTGTCAAGTTACTAGTTTGTTTTTCAGAACTTGCAAATTGTTTATTGTTCTGTATTTTCTGGTTTTTAAAGCACAAGTTCGTGAGCATCCTCTTGAATACTCGATGCCATTCTATATGACATTTTCTGTGCTTACAAAAAGCCTGAAATGTCCAAATATTTGACATAAAATGTCAAATAAATAATTTATTTAAGAAATCCAAAATTTAAAACTGCAGTGTAGCCATGACTAAAAAAATCTGCAAAACTGTCACTTTTACTGTGTTATCTGTATTGATGCACCACTAGAAAAGCAGACATCTTTTTAATTGTTACTATACCTATCTTAGAAACCCAAACAAGTATTTTCTATTGATCTTACTTAAAGCCAGCAAAACTATGTATTTTATTTAAAAGCTTTCATACAGTAAACTCTGAAATGCTGTTTCACACCACAACTTTGAATAATTTAAAATATATATATTTAGGGACTATATGTATCATACGGTCAAATGAAACTGCTGAACATTCTGTAGATGTAAGGAACCAAGATTTTGCACATCTGACTTGTTACAATAGATGTTATCATGATTTCAAGCTTTGTACTTGTTTATCATTGGTGTTTCCACTGTAACCATGGCATCCATATATAGCACAGGCCTAAGAGTGAGAAAAATATCCAGTATTTTCCAAAAACCTCATCTGAGAGAAAAATCTAAGGATTTGCACAATGCCAAAAGTCAATCAAATTTGGTGAGCTGGCTAAAATGAGAAACAGTTTCCTCTTAGGGGAAAAAAAACCCAAAACATTATTTTTTGTGAATCTGTTTTGCATTTTGGACTTCTACAAGAACCTAAAAACAACCTTGATCCTAATGCAGATATTATTAAACAAATTCTGAAATTTCCTTTAAAAACCCCTATTAAAACTATATGAGATCAAAAGCATTAAAGCTATTAATACATTGACAACACCTGTTCTCAGAACATGAACATTTTCTCAGTGTTCTCTTAATAATGTCAGTTCAGTCCTGCAATAACTGTTGCATCGTTCTGAAGATGAGGAGGGCCAGCAGTGCAATTACTCCAATCACACTCAAGTGCTTGGTACCCAGTTCCAACTTTCAGGACTGCCTAAAGGGAAACCTTTAGAATGGCATAAAAAGACTTGATGGTCTTCAAGTGTGTTTCAAGTGTGTAGGCTGCATTTATTTGCTATTTCAGGCAGTAGGGAAGAATGGGTTACTGTGATTGCTGGTTTTAATTTGCTTGTTGCAGAGTTCAAAAAGAGTACTACAAAAATATCTGCCTTAAATGCCAAGAGTGAAATGAAGGAATTAGTCCTCTTATTAAACAGAAGAAACTAACTGGTATCATGCTTGCAGATCTTAGCTTAATGTTGGTTTAGGCCATGTGCATCTTCCTTGTAGTATGAAACTCATTCACTTTGCAGATGACTCCTTTGTCAGGTTTTAATACAGACTCCAGACACTGATGAAGATAACAATAAATTTATTTCATTCAGTATGGACTCTACAGAGATTTCATGACCACAAGTCTTCTTGTAACTCAAGACCAGTGTGATTTTGTAAGGGTCCTCTGAAGGTCCCTATCTATTAATTCAATAAACACACACAGTACTACAACACGCTCAGTAAACAGGAAGATTTTGGAAAGTGTAAAGCACAATCCTATAAATACTTACCACCCCTCCATTCTAACTGTGACATGGGGCGGGGGGGGGGTGTATGCTGTCTACATAGCACATGAACACAATCCTAATGGTGTAAGGGTTTACAGTACAAAACAAGGTAAGTGATGCTTCAGAAGCTGAATTATATTGGGCTGACCAGTTATGATCCACTCCCTGTCCCTGATTCTGTCATATCAACAGACAAGCAGCGTAGTCACTCCCTCATCTCCTCCCACCCACTGAATGCTGGACAGCAATAAATCCTGATGCAATAAAAGCCAGCATTTATTTGATTCAGCTATCTAGTTCCTCATAGATCCTGTTCACAATGGACCTCAACCTGTTAAATTCCACTATTTATCTACGGACTGTGTTCAGACATTTGAGTTCACCTTAAATATCAGAGTCAGGATGCACCCCAGTCCCACCAAAATTCAAACTTGGCATCTGGAATCTGAAAGGTCCTTCCAGATTTGGTGACAAACTCACAACATCTACCATGCACAAAGAGAATGTACAAAATTATTATTCTTTCACTAAAAATCTGTGCAGATCTCCTCATCCCACTGGTCTCAAAGATGAAACCTCACTTGATTTCTGGAGAGTCACAACTTGATTATCATTCAATCCAGGTAAAAGACATCTGCAATACTGCTGTATTTGTCTTTTCCTGATATAGCTATTTCTCCTCTATCACCCACTTTTACCATTTGAGTGTACTAATGTGTAGCTTTTATAGAGTCTGAGAATATCCTAGACCCTGATTATCACAGAGCAACACATAGGTAGTAAAAATGAAAAATATTTTAAAGTTGTATGCATAAAAGTTTTAACAGCAACCTTGATCAGCTCCTAATCAGCATAAATAGAGTCTAATTCTTTCATGCCCTTTCATCATTTCACTATCTCTACATCACTGCATTAAGCAAAGCCCCAAAGAATACATAAAACTCAGACCTATTAGCCCTAGCTATTTTTTCTTTGGTCCTGGGTTCTTTGTCTGTTTGCAAAAAAAAAATACTGGCTGGTACCCTTGACCATGAAAAATAAATACATAAAAAGATGAGCATATATAATTTCAGACAGCTGGTCAAGCAGGGCACACTGAAAATGAGATGATAGCTACTATTGTTTTATTATACATCTCATTTAAAGGATATCTACCATTTAACTGTTTAACTGCAGAAATGTGAAATGTGCATATTCATGTTTCCCATTTCTTCATTGTTTGATTCGTTTCTCCCTGTTAAATCACACTACCTGAGGATGTCAGAGCAAGGAGTCTCCAGCTTTTTTGTACTCCCACTGAGGCACATTAGGGGGTCTTAAAGACCCTGAGAAAGCTGTTAAGACACATTGTGTGTACAGACAACAGAATTTCTCTAGTTGGGCCCAAATTCCCCTAGGATCCTTTCATCAATCTTGAGCACTTCAAGAAGCATTGCGTTAGATCTACGCATAGAGGTGTCGATCATCTGGAGGAAGGAAGGAGGAGCATCAGTGTTGATGCAGTGAGCTCTCAAGTGACAGGAAGACACTGAGGTTGTCTCGTATCAGAGGTCATGTCTGGATTTTTAAGGCTCATCATTGCCAGGCTAACCAAGAGTATTCACCCTGAAATGATGAAACTCATCTAAGCGCTGGATCTGGGTTTTAGGGTAATATTTTGTATGGATGCATTTGGTTCAGGTCTTTCAGACTCAGTAAGACAACGAGATTTGTATTTATGTCACATAATTTCAGAAACTTACGTGGTAACTGCATACCTCTTACTTAGATTCAGCATATTTTTCTTTCCTGTATCGCCTGTGGACCACATGCATTAGTTATACAGTAACCATGACTATCTCAATATAACAGTGTGGAAATAATGAAAAGCCTTCAGAGGCATTACATGCCCTTGGCAACCTAGCTCTGCAAGACAGATGTTGCATCCAGAGCCATGCCACTGAAAATCGTATGTACATGTATGTATCTACAACGTGAACACTTACCCAGTCCTCGAAGTGCCGGCTCCCGTTCTGCAGCAAGTCCTCAAACTGTATAGTGCAGTTAGCCACAAAATCGTCGTACCCGATAGGGGCATCATGGAAAACAGCCATCTCTATCTTCCTGCCATTACAAACGTCGGTGACAAATTCATCGTTCCAAGCAGGACTGTTGGTCTTTTGCTTGGTCGAGGTCTGCCCGATCCTGGAGTCGTCCACATTGAGGGCGATGTAAGGGTCCAGCAAAAAGGTCTGTGGCCTGGGACCCACCGCATGCCTCAGAGACCATGCCGTGGGCTTTAGATTCACCGCCTCGCAGATCTTGATTTTCAGTAAGCCATTGAAAACCACCATGGCTGGATAGCTGCACTTTTCCCGGGATCAAACAGCCGCTCAACGCACTCGCACCGAGAGGGAGGGAGGGAGGTCTCGCCAATAAATAGGAGGGCAGGTCTGGGAATGGGTGAGCAGGGTACGGTGCGGGTCTCTTCGCCTGGCTGCTGCTGTTACCTTCGATTATTTAGCCTTTGCTCTTGCGACACCCAGTGAATACATTTATTTTCTTGCCCGTGTTTCTAACGGAAAACAAGGGAGGGGGGCCGCCGGAGAGGGGAAGGCGGCCGCGGCTGCAGGAACCCCGAATGCAATCAAAACCCGAGCATAATCAATCCGGGGGGTAAGCAAGAGCCTTCTCCCTTCACCCTGACCATAATCTTGGATCAGTCCTTGCAGAAGAAGCAGAGATCCCGGGCTCCCGCACACGCCAGTCCTGCCCGTGCGCCTCACAACAATGCACACGCATACACACACACACGCACACGCACACACTCACACACACGGATCAGAAACACCGGCCGACCCACCAGCCCTGCCTACTCAGCCTGCCTGCTCAGCAAACATCCACCCGGGGACCTTCCATCCGCGCCGCCGCCCGCAGCCGCCCGTCCTGCGCCGCCGCCGCCTCCTGCTCCACCGCCGCCAAGGCCGAGGACCCAGCGGAGCGACCCCCGCGCATGGGGGGCGCCGGCAGCGGAGCGGCCCGCGCGGGTCTCGGCGGGCTCCGGCTGGGCGGCCGCCGCCCTGACGATGGGCAGAGCCGCCGCCGCCTCCCTCCCGCCTCCCGCCGGCCGCCCCCCGCCCGCCTCTCGCCCGCCGCCTCCCCTCGGCCGCCGCCGGCCGCCTCCCTCCGCGCAGCCCCCGCCCGCTGCCGGTGCCGCTCCGCCGCTCGCTCCAACGCAGGAAATGCGCAAAAGACGTCAGTGTGTGTGTGTGGGGCGAGTGAGCGGCGGCGGCGGCGGCAGCCCCGGCCGTGCGTGTGTGTTTCTGTATATATGTGTGTGTGTGTGAGTGTAGAAAGTTTTGCCTCTTGGGGGAGCAGCGCGGCCGCCACCAGCCAGGAACCGCGGCGGGGGTCGCGCTCCCAGGGCTGGGCTTGCCGGTCCTCTACACCCGCCGGGAGGCTTTCCGCCGGGGACACTGCCCGCCCCGGCCTCACGCCTCCTCCTCCTCCCGGGATAAAGTGGTGAACCAAAGGTGGATAAACCCCCAGACGCTTTCCTCCCTGACCGCCTTTATTAACGTCTTTGACCACCAAGGTCCGGACCGGACCGGGACCGCCACTCACACCGTGCCGGGCGCTTCTGGCACCGCGTTGCCGGCGGACGCCCCTTCCCGCAGGGCTTCCCGCCCTTCGCCCTTCTCTCCGTGATCCCCGGAACGCCTCTGCCCGCGCCGGACGGGCAGCGAACTCCACCGCCCCCGCCCTTTCCCGCCGCCTGACAGCCCCGAGCCCCGGCCCGCGTCTCCGCCGCCCCCGCCCGCCGCGGCAGCGGCACAGCCAGCGCTACGTCAGCGGGGGCCGGGCCGGGCCGGGCTTGGGGGGAAGACTTTTCCCGCGGTGTGCGAGCACCGGAAAGTGCCGAGCGCCGCCAGGGGAAGCGGCCTCCCGAGGCCCGCCCCGCCCGGCCCGGCTCGGCCCGGCCCGCGGCTGCCCTTCCCCCGGCCGGGAGGCGCTGCCTGGATTGGGACAGAAGCCGCCTGCTGGCCCCCCTGGCGCCCCGTGGCGGTCGGGCACTGCCAGCCCCTTTGTCTGCCGCGATCACCTGGCCCGTGCCTGCCTCACCTCAACCCGCGGCGCGACCCCGCTGCTCCGAGCTGGCGCTGAGCGGGAGACCGCAGGAAGGCGGTCGCCACTGCCCTGCAAGCGTACTGAAAAGGGAAAAAACCACAAACCCTTCTGAAAGGGTAAAAGGGTGTGCGTACTGTATCCTTGAACGCTATCTGCACGTCATGAAAGATTTCAGTAATTTTTCGTTACCGTACCAAATACCCTATGAGATACCCGTGAAGCTACTGACTTTCTTCTGCTCGGGACAAACGTACTTGGGATCTGGATGATTTCCCATGGTGAAAATTATTAATTATTTTTAGCCACTGATTTTGCCTTTGTGTGTGTGTGCTTGTGTTGAGAAAGTCACCAGGAAATGGACGGACTTTGCCCTTTGATGGGATTTGAGTTCACTGTAACATCACAGGAGAAAAAGCATCAGTTCTGGCACCCAGGAGAGTGGCTGGGGTGCTTCGAAGAATCACCAAAGTAGAAAGCTGTATTGCCTGGATCCAGTTGAATAAAGACATAAAAGATGATCTGGACCTGATATTCCTGACTGGAGATGAAAGAACAGATAATTATGGATTTCTGCAGATAATGGCTCAGGAGGCAGGTGTTATATTTGGAGCTAATGAAACAGGTCCAGTATCTGTGCTTCCAGAGCAGTTTCCAGTTAGGAGATACAGTACTAATGAAGCCAATGGGTCATGAGAGCGTACGCCTTAATGGAAGACAGACATTCTGGTGCCTGTTGCCACTTAGTCTACTAGTCAAAATAGAAGTACAGTAAAATCTCCATGTTCATTATCATCTTGACAATCTCCAAGCAGAATCGTTTGATACAAAGCTGTGGTATGGAGCCAATTATGGGAAATGTCTTCCTTTGCAATTCAGCCTTTCCTGGGCTCACAGCAGCCGTGATACATTTATCATGTTACTTTTGAAAAGGACCATACTGGCAGGCCCCACCAGAAATACAAGAAGGACCTGCTCCTTTCCTCCCAGCCCCATTCACAACCTGATGCATACAGTGCTATATATTAAGCTGTATGGTCTTACATTTAGTGTGTGAGAAAGAATTGTATAATTAAATCTTTCATCTGGATGTCTTTGTGTTCTTTCTCAACAAGCGCAATGTAAATAGTATTTTTCTTTTTATTATTCTCCGTTTCTTTAGATACTTATTGGAAAACATAAAAGCCAAACTGATACACTGTTTATTTTTTTTCTGGTTATTTTTAGAGAACTGCAACTGTATGTATTCTGTATGCCCAAGGTAAGTAAACAGAGTCTCCATGGTGAGTTTAATGACCTAGCATCTCTCTGAGAATACACATGCATATTATGAAATTCTGAATAAATACAGACATTATTAACACAACATACAAAATAATAAATAGACCTTATATTTGGCTAATTACAAATACAGTCTACTGCATACCTAGCTAGGCCTAATTCGAGCCATCTGCACTTTTCCATGCACTGAAGCAAGCTAAAGTTGGCTTCCACAAATAATATCTTCAAAGGATAAATGTCTGCCTGCATGAACAGGGATTTAAAAGCTCACTTAGGATCAGACAGCTCTAGCCTTACACTGCTTAGGAAAATACAAATATCTTGCACACTTTTAATTTGGTTTTAGATTTTTTGGGTTTTAATATATTTCAGAAAAGCATGTCTATGTCAAGACTGAACTTTTATCCCTAAGAAGTTCTTAACCAAAGTACTCTGGAATAGTATTCTTAAAATCCAGTAACTAAGGTACATGGAGCAACATTACAATGCTTCTTGGAAGTTCATCTAAAAGCTCAGTGGTCTCAAAAATTTTAAGTAATAGCAAAGAACATTCCCAATGTAAGTACCATTTTCCACTCAAAAAGTTTTTTAATATTTGTTTGCTTGAATTTTTTTTTTTTTATTTTGCTGTGCACACAGAAGGATTTCGTTCTTTGAGAGCTGAAAAGCAAAAGCTATTCTGTTTCACATTGGGGAAGTCTGGAGGGGAAGATGCAGCACTTGCAGTATTTCTCCTGCAGAAGGGCAGTAAGAAGTACTCCAGCTGCATTTCTGTACTCTGTTACAAAGGCTGCAGCAGTACAGTAAACCATGGCCTGAAGTTTTACTATGTTTTAGCTATTTTTCCCAGCTGTGGGGTTGTTTTTTAAATACATGGAGGGTCTACAGGGTATCTAGACTCAGGACTGGTTAAGGTGATCTGTCTACTCTCCAGAAGTAACTTTTGCCGGTACAAGCCCCTATGTTCAGCACTCTGAGAGAAAACAGCCCTTGTGTCAGGGCTGCTCTCAGTGCTGCTCAACTAGAAAAGGAAAAGACCCCCGAGAGACCGTAAAAACTCAGTTTTTTTAATTGCATCAGCTTCTATTTTCATTTTTACTTAGGAAAGTGGCTACATAAAACTAATAATGGACAGCAGCAATGGCACGGCCAGCACGCAGTCACTTGCAGGCAGCGGCCTCTCAAGGCACGGTTTTACTCCCGCAAGTCCTTTTTAGGTTGCGCCTGCCCTGTTTCAGGTACTGGCGGTGACAGCGGCAAGGAAGGACGAGCAAGCTGTAAGTAGCCTGTAATCTCAGACAGCCCCTGACCTTTCCCTGGCCTGTGCATCCTCCATAGCTCTGTGGAGAAACAGCACTATCTGGTGGAGAGAGGATGTAAAGTCCTGCCAGGAGACGCGTTAGGCTTAATTCTATTATTGCAGCCACAATTGCATCTGGGTTTGAGGTGCTGTTGCTCCAGATTGGTAGATAGTTTAACTACATTTTCAATAGGATTTATTTTTTATAGTCCCAGTCTTCGAACACTGGAGAAAAGTCCGCAAATTTTCAGGCTTTTCTAAGTTCAGCAATATGAAAGAAGGAGAGGAGATTTTGTGATGTTTTATTTCTAAAAGGAGCATAATTTCTTAGAGTTATACTAAACTGATAGGCAAGGAATAAAATTAGGCTTGAATGCAGGAGAGATTTTTGGAAACACCTTTATGTAAAAAATGAAATGAAAGCCAGAACCCTCATTATAAGCCCTGTGAAAATTGAGGAACTTTGAATCCACTCTGGACAAGAATATATTCCAAGCATATGAAGATATTCACCAGTATGAGTATATCCACTAAATTCCTTTGAACTTAATGGATATGCTTATGCAAGTGCAATAGTTGGGTGTTAGTGGAATCAGTCCCTTCCTGGCAAGAAATCAAAGATTGCTGTCAAATGCTGACTATCTTTGAAAGTCAGATTATTTAGTATCTAATTTTGGAGGCACAGTTAGGAAAAAAGCATCCTCAAGAGCATTTTCACCCCTGCCATGATGCAAATGATCTTTTGGGTATACCAATAGCTAATCCATCTTTTCTAAAAATGAAGAAAAAGACCAGTATCAGTGAGCTTGGTCCAGCCTCCAGCTCCATTCCAAGGTTTCCTTTGTGTCCAGCCAAATTCCTACTAATTTATTCTTCACTCCCAAAGTATGTACCTGAGGAAGTTACTTAAGGCACTACCAATGCTCTCTGTGAAATGTCTCAGCATAAGGGATCTTGTCAATGTGTGATTAATTAGGTCTCCAACTCTCTAGTGTAATTATACTTTTGGTAATCTTCCCAACCTCTTTTAAAAGAACATATTGAACACTAGCTGAGTGTGTTAGCTTTCACTGGGAATAAATCTCTCAGAGTACATCTGCACGGTGACATGGTGACTTCAGTGCAGTGTCTACCAGCCAGCCTGTTCTCAGGTATGCACCTGGTTTGCTAGCCAAGACTGAAGCCCTTCCCAGCAGTTCTTATCTGAGCTAG